TCCTGCTTTTCTCACTTTTGATTCTGATTACCTTTTCCTCGTGTAACAGGAACAGGCTGGGCCTTGTTCCCAGCTCTTATGTCTTTTCTTTCTCTTACCAGACCACAGTGTGGATATTTGAAGTTTCTATTTCTCAAACTAACTTTTATTTAATGAAGTTATGTGTTGCTCCCCTATCCTTGACCTTATTTTGCAAAGTTTATGTGGTCAGCATCTCAGATCTCTCTCCTTTTCTCTTTTTTTTCTCTTCTTTTTTTAATTTAATTTTTTTTTTAAATTTTTTGGAGAGACTTTTGCTATAGGGCCTGTGCACTCACCAAAAAGACAGAGAGAGACAGAGAGACAGAAAGTGAAAAATCACCCCCCAGGGGGCATGGCCATGCTGCAGTCCCTTCTCCTCCACTCTCTTCTCGAGATCTTGGGCACGTGCACACACGTGCCTGGCATGAGTTTAAGCCACTGGGTCCGGGACTTGAACAACGGTCGACTACATGGGAGTCCAGTGACATAGTCATTAAGCAACTACTGGTGCCTTGGATTTCTCTTCTGCCTCAGAACACATTGCTGTTTTCAAGTGTGTGCCCTTTTCACATAGAATAATTTTTTCTTAAAAGGTTGCCAGTCATAGTATAACCTTGAATCTCCCTAATCTGGGGTGTGTTCCAGTAGTAGGTATTTCGGGCAAGATTTTTGGTATCAAATGGTAGAAAATGAATTTGGTTTGACTTTAAGCCCAAAGGGGAATTTTGGGCTGTAGGACTAAATGACCAAGGGCAGTTCACAGGGACAAGTGGACTTGGCTATTCAACTACTATTCCCAGGAATCTGTTTCTTTCCATCATTTAGATTTGTTTCTTTCTTGGGTTTATTTTCAGTTAACTTCCCCAGAAAGTGGAGTCTTAGTGATCAGCTTAGCAGAAGTAGTGGCAGCATTTGGCTAGTAGTTTTAGCACATGTCCCCTGGCTGATGATTATTGACCCAGCTTGAGTTACTTGCCTGCCCCTAATTGACCTGAGGGAAATTGGACTTCTGTATGCCAGGCCCAGGTCATCTGCTGCTCCCCATACCAGAGCGTGAAGGTCAAACCATGTTGATTTCTTCCTCCACCTTAGAGGAGAGTAGCACACAGGTGATCTGGGCCTGGCCTATGGAAGAGGGTGGGAAATGGGGTGGCTGCCTAAGGGGAAATTGGGATGTTATTACCCAAAGAACAGGAATGAATACTGGGTGGTCAAAAATAACAGTTGCCTGTTGGAAAGCACATCAAATTAATTGAGACTAAATTCCTTCTAGGAGATCCACAGTACACTGTGTCACCACAAATGCTCTGAGTTTAAACATAATCAAACAAGCTTGTTTGGCAGAGGATAAGAGCATTCCCAGAAATAGTTTTCTCTTAAGCTTTTGTAATAATGCTTATCTGTTATACTTGCTAAATTACCTTCTGTTTTGATTCTCTTATTAATCTGTACTTGGAATCACAAATACTTGAAACATACTAATACTGGAGATTTTCTGGCTGATGTAAATGAGTTTTATATTGCATGTAATTGTATCTGAGTTCTCTACCTTTCAAATCTCTTGTTTATACCATCTGCATATGTATTTATTGACTTGATATCTAGCGGGATTTTAGCTGGAGAGTGTAGGAAGAAATGAGGGGAAAAAATGAAAATACTCAACTCTTTTTCTGGTACATTATAAAAAAAATCTGGTAGAGGGCATCTTTGCTCGCCAAAGAGAGAGACATAGAGAGAAAAAGAAAGTGAGAAAGCATCCCTCCATAGGGGATGGTCATGCCCCAATCTCTTCTCCTCCATTTCCCCTTTTGTGATTTTGGGCATGTATGCACATGCTCCTGGCATGCTTTCCAAGTCTCCGAGTCTGGGCCTCGTTCGACCGTGTGGAATTTAGCAGTCTTAACCACCATGCCACTGGGTGACTCTCTGGTGCTGTTTTACCAGTTATACCCAGACAGATTAAGGAAGGAAGGAAAATAGCCAAAGCTGATAAATGGGTGGATTAGATAAGGAGCAGGTCATTAGCAGCAACAGTTTTAGAATGAAAAGACGTTCCCAATTCTCAAATAAGTTAAACTGAAGTCTGACCTTACTCCACTTGTGGTGGCAGTATGCTTCCAATTGGAAATTCATGTGTCTGCAGAGAATTAAATAGGAACTCTGTAGGTATATTGGGCAAACGACTGGAGACCAGGACCCCGGATGTAACTTTAGAAAGTCAAATGAATTTTTAGAAACAACTAAGTTTTAATAAAGTCAGACTCCACAGCTTATTGTTTATAGTCATAACAAAACCAGTTGATAATTAAGGATCTCAGTCTTTGATTTTTGTTTTAATTATTGTCTTCTTTAAGAGATTATGTTTTGGGGCTGCCAGGTGGTGTGGTAGTTAAGGGCACTAGACTCACACATGGTTGGCCATGGTTCAAGTCCTGGACTTGGCAGCTTGCTTTCTCTCACTTTCTCTCTCTCTCTTTCTCTGTCTCTCTCTGGTCAAACTTAAATATACAAATAAATAAAGTTGAATAAAATAATTCTTAAAAAGAGATTATAAGTTTAGATTTTAAAGAATCTAGTAAATAATACTTTTTTCAAGTTTAAATCGCTTGTTCTTTTTTGGTCACTGAGGCAGGGCAGAGCATGTGTAAGAAAAGATTTCATGTTTTTGGTTTGGGTGATAGGGTAGAAGGGCTTAATATTAAGCATTTTTTAAAACCTGGTTCAAATTAGAATCCAACTGTTAAAGAACTAGGAACTTCTCCTCACAAAAATGACAGTAGTTATATCAGTACTTAATATTAAGCATTTTTTAAAACCTGGTTCAAATTAGAATCCAACTGTTAAAGAACTAGGAACTTCTGCTCACAAAAATGACACTAGTCATATCAGTACCATTTTAAACTTTTATCAGTTAAAAATAATTTCTCTCCTTTCATATCATTACTGCTTCCCCTGGTTTCTTCAGATATAATATGTGAGAACCTTTATTGCAAGTGACTGACCCACTAACAAAGAGAAAAGACAGCCTTGAAGGGCCAGAGTGACTCCATTTCTTTCGGGGCAACTCCATTACCTTGCTGAGAATTGGCGCCATTTCAAGTAGGCAAGCTTGTCAGTAGGAAAAAGTCATGAGACCATCACCCCACCGGGGACTGACCAAGGAGAGAAACAAAGGAGATACCAGAAACCGAAAGTAACTTTTCTGCTGAGAAAAACAGGAGATAATCAGAAACAGCCACAGTCCCTGTAATCTACAACCAACATGTAGCTGCTGAGTTCATTCCTCAGCACCCCTTGACCTTCCCCACAACAAACAAATAAAAACCCAGCCTGACTAACATGGGGCTCTCAACTCTGACCTGCTGTGCCGGTGAAATTGGGAGTCCTGGCTCGAGCCTGAATAAAATCGACCCTCATGTGCTTACATCGGAACGACTTCCTGCTGGTCTTTTGGGAACTTTGTGACTGGGGCACAACAGCCTGACAGGAAATAACCACAATGGGATTCCAATGTATAAAGTACAAAGAATGAGCATAGTACACAATCTTCCAAACCAATCCAGAAGTTTTCATAGAATTAATCTGGTATTTGTGAAAGGGGGTATGTAGTATGTGTGTGCATGTGCGTGTATAATGAGTGTATTTTTTTCTTTCAAGATTTTTATGATAGGTTGGGTGTGCTTGCCAGATAGAGACAGAGAAAGAGAGAAACTGAGAAATCACCTACCAGGCGAGATGATCATGCCACAATCCCTTCTTCATTTTCTTCTCAGGATTTTGGGCATACATACATATGTGCCCAGCATATTTTAAACATTTTTTTATTTAAAAAAAAATTTAGTTATTACTCATTCATTAAATCACTATACATCATTTAGATTGTGAAGAGACTTTGCCCAGCATGATTTACACCTCAGTCCATCACTGTTGAGACTATTATACACATCCTCATCCACAGATAATAAACCTTATCTGTGTCCCACAAGTGTCTTACCTCTCCATTTTCTCCCCAGATTTCCTTTCCTACACTCTTCCCCTCCACCCAGCATATTTTTCAAGCCATAGGGTCTGGGACTCGAACCATGGAGTTGACCCTGTGGGACCCAGTGCCTTAACCGCCATGCCACCAGCTGGCTTGAGTATATGTTTCTTTTTTCATTATAGGGTATGTATGCTCACCAAAGAAAGACAGAGAGAGACAGTGAGAGACAATGAGAGGGTAAATGAGAAATCACCCCATAGGATGGATAGCCACCCCACAATCCCTTCTTCTGGGATTTTGGACATACGTACACAGGTGCCCAGCCTGATTTTTCAAGCCATCAGGTCCAGGACTCAAACCTCAGTTAACCATATGGCAGTCTGGCACCTTAACCACCATACCACCTGCTGCTCCCCTCCCCCAAGTGTATGTTTCTTAAAAATTAAAAATTACTCCAGACTTGAATTTGACTTAACTAGAATTAGAATACCTGCTCATAAGTAGGCTAGTACCCTATTGTAAATGGTTACTCTGAACAGAAGAGAAAACTGGCACATGTGAGAGGCTTGGTGATTTAGACCTAAACTGTTGGTCTCTAAATCCCATGCATCTTCTCTATATCAAGCTTCCGAGAGAATTAACTGTTAAGTTTAATAATTATTTTACCATTTTCTTCTGTCCAGTCAGAAAATTAAGGTGTGTATGGGCCACCTGGTGGCATGGTGGTTGGGATGGCTGGATCCCACATGGCATCTCGAATCCTAGACCTGGTGGCTTGAGGGACACACTAAGTGTGTGTGCATGCATGGCAAAAAGGAGAGGAGAGGAGAATGGAGAAGGGATTGTAGTATGACCATCCTCCCTGGGGAATGTTTTCTCACTTTCCTCCCTCTGTTTCTGCTGTGAGCATATGTGCCTCATAGCAAATTAAAATAATTATTTTTAAAAATTAAATGAAGGTGTTTAAAACCTAATTGTCTTTTTAATCTTTGTTTAGAAACCGGGTTGGAGGTTATGGATGATAAGCCCAATCCTGGAACCCTAAGAGAGAATTCAGAACGTCTCTTCTCCTTTGGAGTTATAGCAGATATTCAGTATGCTGATTTAGAAGACGGCTATAATTTCCAAGGAAACCGGAGGAGATACTACCGACATAGTCTTCTTCACTTGCAGGGTGCCATCGAAGACTGGAATGCGGAAAGTAGCACCCCTTGTTGTGTCCTTCAGCTCGGAGACATCATCGATGGGTATAACGCACAGTATAAAAAATCCGAACAGGCCCTAGAACTTGTTATGAACGTGTTCAAAATGCTTAAAGTCCCAGTTCATCATACATGGGGAAATCATGAATTCTATAACTTCAGTAGAGACTATTTAACGAACTCTCAACTTAACACAAAGTTTCTAGAAGACCATATCCTGCATCATCCCGAGACCGTGCCTTCTGAGAATTATTATGCTTATCATTTTGTACCATTCCCTAAGTTCCGGTTTATTTTGCTCGATGCTTATGACTTGAGTGTCTTGGGCATGGATCAGTCTTCTCCAAAATTCCAGCAGTGTATGAAGATATTGAAGGAGCACAATCCAAATACGGAATTGAATAGTCCTCAAGGTGAATTATTCTTTTGAGCTGAGAGTCTAATACATTGTCTTTAAATTCTTCAACTGCCTTTAGGAAGATGGACGATTAAGGTAAAAGTATATTGTCCTGTTGTTCAGGGTCAGGTTTTCTCACAAGCCTGATATCACACGGATTGGTTATAGTTGTTTCAAGATTCATATATTCTAGGTCTTTCTAGCCAGAGCTATAAGCAGTACTGACAGTATAACTTTTTTTTTTTTAAATGTGGAGGAGAGCTAACAAAAGAAATAGGTGGGAAAGACAAATAATAAATGAAACAAAATTTCTGCCAGTTGATAAATGCAACAAAGAAATTGAGGTTATAGACTGATCTAGAAAAGGACTGAAGGTACTGTATTCAGTAGTGACCATTAAAAGCTTCTCTGAGGGGTAAAACATTTAAACTAATACCTATATGGAAGGACGGAGCCATCCTTGGGATGAACAGGGGTAGAAGGTTGGCAGACAGGGAAAAATACTAAGGTGCTAAGTGGGATGAGAAGACTTTTCCGTTGTTGAAGAACACAGAAAAGGGCCAATGGGTACAAGATAGTTTGGGGGAGCAAAAAAAGGCTAGAATATGGAGTGGCCCAGTGAACTTAGTGAGGAGTTTCTATTTCTTTTCAATGTAATGGAAAGTCAGTGAAGGAGAGTCAAGACTAGGAGTAAGATGCCATGTGATTGATTTATATATTACTCCAAAGTCTTGTGATTTCTTATTATAAGTTGATTGCTGCTAATCTGCTAACACATTTTTAAAGAAACGAACCAGAAAAGAAATTCAGTATTAGCTATATTTGAATATCCAGGTGAGGGAGAAATAACAGTTGATGGGCCTGACTTACAAATTCATTTCAGGACTTTCTGAGCCTCAGTTTGTCCAATTTAATGGAGGATTCAGCCAAGAACAGCTGAACTGGTTGAATGAAGTTCTTACGTTCTCTGACAAAAACCAGGAAAAGGTGGTGATCGTGAGTAAGTATTTAAATGATCTATTACACAAGCCTTTTAGAAACTAGGAAGAGTGAGTTTTTAAAGCATGTTACTGATATTTATGTTTTGATATCTTCTTTTTATACAGTGGGTTCTTAGCTTAAATTTTTTTATGGAAAACCAACTTGAATGTAAGATTAACATTTCAGGCTGTGTCAGGAAAAAAACTTTAAAATAACAAAAACATCCTGTCATATCATAGAACTTGTGAGCTGGCTTTTTAAGGTTTCAAGTAGAATTTTCCCAAGTGGGATCAATCTGTGTAGTACTTTTAAATGAGAAATTTGGTTTGAGCCCCATGAAATATCAGCCTTAGGAGCCCTTCTGTGAAGTGGCCATCAGACAAGGCCACCCCTGCCTGGGTGAAGCACTGCTGATGTCGTGGGCAGAGTGTTACAGACTCAGCTGGTAGCAGGGCCTTTCAATTCTCTAACTGTATCTACCACATGGTCACAGGAAATTATATATGTATTTTTTTCTTTCTTTCTTTTTCTTAAACTTTTTTTTTCCTTTCATTTGCTAGAAGGCATGCATGCTCACTGGAAGAGAGAAAGAAAAAGTAAGAAATCACCCTCTTCGAAGCCCTTATGAGAGATGGTCATGTCACAATCCCTTTTCCATTTCTCCTTTTGGGATTTTGGGGAAAAAACATACATACACACAGGGGTGTGTTTTTTAAGCTGTTAATCTGGGACTTGAACCATGTGGTTGGCCATATGGGATCCAACTACTTAACCACCATGCCACTAGCTGGTCCAAAATCATTTTTCTAAAGTTTAGTTCTTATTTTATTCATGATAAAGAGCATGCACTCATGAGGAGAGAAGAAAGACAGTGGGGCACCCTTGACAGGGTCTTGCCATGCTATAGTGCCCCTTCCCCAGCTGACCAGCTTCTCTTAGGTATGAGTGCACTTTCCCAGGGTATTTTCAGGCAGGGATCTGAACCAGTGATTTACCATGTGGATTCTAGCACTGTGGTTCAGTTCATTCCCAACCATACCATCAGGTTGGGCCTAGACTCATCTTTGAGAAATACACTGGCATCAGAGATTATAGGAATCTGGAGGTACATAAAACACACTCACATGTGTGCACATACATACATATACAAACATACACATGAAGAATGGAATTTGAATTTGCAGTGTGACTGGTGGTCTTGGTTTGGGAGTTGACTTTTCAGCCCTTGTTTGGAATCAATGTGGCATAATAGGTAAATAGACTGGACTCAGACACAGAAGGATGGGGTACCATTCTGGCTCTTGTTTGTATGAGCTGTGGCACCTAGGACAAACACTGAACCCACAAACTGCAGTTTTCTCAATATTGCATCAAATGAAATTATGATTATGAAAACCCCTTGAAACTGATAGGCTATTTAGGTGGTTGGTAATATAAAATTATAGTTCAGTCTATAAATGTAGTTTTCACTATTAACCTTCCACTGATGGAAACATGTAGATGGAACAACCATATCTCTGCTACTGTTGAAATATCAATTATCTGTCAAGGCTTAGAAAAGATGAAGTACTCTTAGGGGTTATTAGAATAAAGTACACTGCTTGGCCCTACAGTAAGTGGTCTCAGAAATTAAGGTATGTCTTCTTTTAGTTATTTTTTATTGTCAGAGGATCCATGCACTCTCCAGAGAGAGAAAGAAATCCCTCCACACACATGAGATAGACCCCAATGGGCATGGCCATGTTGCAGCCCCTTCTCCACCATTTCTCCTTCCTATAGGATTATAGCACACATACACATGCACACACATGCCTAGTGTGCTTTTCAAGTCGCCAGGGCTGAGATTGGAACTGTGGTCAGCCATGTGGGGTCTGGCTCCCTAATACGTAGTACGTAAACACTATGTTATGTGGCCAGCCTAGAAACCAAAGTACTTCTTGATTTCTTCGCCAATGTCTGCTTATTAGTTTTCCACTGCCAGGCTGACTGATACTTTAGAGCAGTAAAGCTGAAAGGGACTTAGGAATCATATAGCTGAACCCTTCAATATTGAAGATAAAGTGACCAAAGTCCAAAGGGATTCAATTGCATAGCTAAAATCATAATAGCTACTGGCAGAACTGAGATTAGAATCTAGTGTTACATCCCAGTCCCCTTCCCCACTCCATCCTGTATTCTGTTCTTTTGTTTTTACTGACAACAGTGCATCTATTTATGTAAGCAGTCTCTTCACATTTCTTCTGTCATTTGCTGTAAGTTAGAACCTGGATCAGCAAACCTTCAACAACCAAATGACTCACATTTTCTTCAGTGAAGTTTATATGTTAAAGTTTAATTGAAATCTTATTTTTGTTTACTTTTTAATTTTCATTTTGATTACTCTCAGGTCATTTTACCTACTTTTTAAGTTTCAACCATGCAGCTGGAAGTATAGAATTGCCATTGGCTGAGATGGGAGCATTGTAGGATGAGGGACTTAGGTGGAGAGGGCAGGGATTGGGGTTTAGAAATACTGAGTTTTGAATGCCTGTTAGTGGGAATGTTGAATAGGCCGTTCAGACATATGAATCTGAAATTTAGATTATAGGTTTGGGCTAGATATATAAATGTGGAAGTTTGAAGGATATAGATGTCATTTAAAGTTACATAAATTATAAAGAGATTGCCAAGGTCTTAGGTGCAGGTAGAGAAGGGCAAGGAATTAGACACTCCTGATGAGACATGAAGGAAATGAGGAGAAACCAGCAAAGGAGATGAAAGTTGGAGGCCATAGAGATTGGAGGAAACTAGGAAGACACCAATAGGAAAACAAGTGGTGTCCTGGAAGCCAGGTGCTTCAAGGAGAAAGCAGTGACCAATTGGACCACATGCTGCAGAGACTTGATGGATGAGTCATTGGCTTTTGGATCCTGGAAAGTCATAATGCTTTTGGACTCAGCCCATACCTATCAAAGCTTAAAGTTGATTATGTGTGTGTGTGTATGTGTGTGTGTGTGTGTGTGTGTGCGTGCGCACGCACGCGTGTGTAATAGGCAAGCATGCAAGTGAGCATGAGCACTTGTATTCCTTTTCTGCTTTAGAGGGTCTCTCCCACCTATTTTACTTGTATTATAAATAGATATTAAGTAAAAACATATTTAAGTTTAAATATCAGAATAAAAATGAATAGTAACAAAAAAGGAAAGTAATCTGATGGGAAGAAGCAAAGACCAGTGTGCTATGGTACTTGTACTTGAGAGTGATAACTATGAATGGGCTCATAGATGTGTGGGCGCAAAGAATGTGGCATTCTCCTGGCTCTACTCTCACATACCTCCGTTAGGAACCAGTACAAATCCTCCCTGCTTTAACCAGTTTTCTCATCTATAAAGAGAGAATGGCTGCCATGATCTTTTTGGGCATATTTAAAGTCCCGTGAATCAGTTCTGAGGCACTGCGTGTTTATATAAATGACACCTAATCTATGACCTGTCCTTAAGATGTTTTTTGAGTTAGCATCATGTCTTTCTGTTTATGTAGCATTCATATTTTTTAAAAGATTTATTTATTTATTTATTCATTCATTCCTTCATTTTAATTTGACCAGAGAGAGAGAGGAAAGTGAGAAAGCAAGCCACCAGGTGTAGGACTCGAACTGTGGTTGGCCATGTGGGAGTGTCCAGCACCTTAACCACCACGCCACCTGCTGATCCCTGTAGCATTCGTATTTCAAGAAATCAGTGAACTGGATTCTAGTGCAGCATCTGTCTGGTTTCTGGCTGGCTTTGCAACTGCCCTGCATAAGATGTCCTCAATGTTCCCTGGTATTTGTGCAGTTTGAGACGCTGTGTAGGCCTCCGAGATCTCCATTCTGCCTCTGCAGTAACCTGTCCCACCTCCTCACCTGTGAACTGTCTCACCTTTCTTTCTATGCTCCAGAGACGTGGCTGTAGATAGCCTAGCTTGTCATGTATATGATTCTCTCTGGTCTCAGTCCATTTTGATAATGAGGTAGCAATACACTTTGTTTCTCTGTGTACTAGCCTTTAGCCATTTATCTTAAGAAGAGATATTTGTTAACTCTTCTTTCTTTTAACCAACAGGCCATCTTCCCATTTACCCAGAGTCCTCTGACAGCGTGTGCCTGGCCTGGAACTATAGAGATGCCCTCGCAGTCATTTGGTCTCACGAGTGTGTGGTGTGTTTCTTTGCTGGTCACACTCATGATGGTGGCTACTCAGAGGATCCTTTTGGGGTACACCATGTTAACCTAGAGGGAGTTATTGAAACAGCTCCAAACAGCCAAGCTTTTGGCACAGTTCATGTCTATCAAGACAAAATGATGTTGGAAGGGAGAGGCAGAGTTCCAGACAGGATTATGAATTACAAGAAGCAAAATACTTCCCACTTTTAGTCTGATATGTTTTGTTTATTTTTGTAGAAAGAGAATGACTTAGCTTTGTGCTTATCCCCCCAAAATAAAAATAAAAATGAAAATCCTCAGTCTTCATTGTTGAACATTCTGCTTGCATAACACTATATTTATGATTTTGTTGCGTGTTGATGAAATATTTGAAAATGTTACTTTGGGATGATATATCCAGTGCTGAAGTTAGAAACAAAATAAACCAGGGGAGATTAAGGTTGGGTTACGTAGCCCCCATAAGGGACTTAGTTTAGCCATCCTAGAATTGTTTTATTTTTTATAAGGAAACATACTCATGTGTTAACCAACTTAGAATTCATAGTAGTGGAGCCAACAGGTGATTTAGTGGTTAAGGTGCTGACTTCCACATGGCCAACTGCAATTCAAGTCCCAGACCAGTTGGCTTGAATATCATGCTGAGCACGTGTGAGTATGTGCCCCAGATCCCAGGATGTGAATGGAAAAGGAAGGATTGTGTCATGGCCATCCCCCTAGCAGGGGATTTCTCACTTTTCCTCTCTTTCTCTGTCACTCCGCAGCAATTGTTCATACTCTTTGGCAAAAACCATTGCTAAAATATTGTGCTCTGCAGGTTGGAACATGGGAAGCTTGGTTTAGATTCTCTGTTTAACCTAGTGGCTGGGCATAGTGGTGTGTACTAGTAATCCCACCAACTCTAGAATCTGAGGCAGGAGGATCTTGAATTCAAGACTGGCCTGGCCAATATAGTAAGACCCTGTCTGAAAAAGAGCCAGGGTGTGTGTGTGTGTGTGTGTGTGTGTGTGTGTGCATGTGCATGTATAGTCCCAACCAGGAGGCTGGGACTGGAGGGTTGTGACAGTGAGACCATGTCTTAAAAAAAATAGGGAGCTCAGGTAAATTTAGGGTGTTTACCCTCCTGTGTAAATGAACTTTGGACAGTTTTTGCTTAGAGTACCATCATACTTGGACTTAGATAGTCTTGCATTCCTGTCTTTTAAGTAAAAACTGACAATGGTTATTTCACAGGTTTATGTGTGACACTCCTATCTCTACAAGAAGGGCCTCCAGAGAAGTCAGGTGGTGCTCTGGGTCTAACCCAGGTAGGCACAGGGCACAAGCACAGCTGTGTGCCTACTAGCTTAGTCTGTGGGCCACCTGCTAGAGCTGTGAGGCTGGAATAGGTAGAGTAAATTTACCCTACACTCCCTTTGTAGACAAAGGGGTCTGTTCAACTTGATTGTCTTATTTTCAAGAACTCTGACCAGCCAATAGAAACTGTTAAAGTGCAGAGAAAGTTTGGTTCAGGGCCTGAAACACAGCCGTATTCATCATCAGTGTGCCTGCAGAGGACCTAGACACCATAGGGATATGGAGGTGATTAGTTGTCTAGGGCTGTGTTAATAGTTAACCTCAAACTTGGTGGCTCACAGCACTCTGTACTTGCTCTCTTAAAGTTTAGGAGTCACAAGTCTGGAATCATTTTCACTGCATTGCACCAAGGTGTCAGTAGGGCCAGCTTCCCTCAGGAGGCTCTTGGAGGAATTCTTCTCTTTGTCTTTTTGAGTCTCTAGAACTGCCCTCCTTATGTTCCTTGTGTCATGGCCCCTTCCTCCTTCTTCAAAGCCAGCAGCAAAGCATCATCGAACTTCTCCTTGTTGTCATATCACCATCTGTAGTCTGTAATCAAATCACTCTGCCTCCCTCTTACAAGGACACTTATGACTACATTGAGGGCCCACCTCCATAATCCTGGGTAATCCAGATAATCTTCCCCATCTCAAGGTCCTTAATCACATCTGCAAATTCCTTTTTGCCGTATCAAGTAACATATATTCCAGGGACGAGGATCCTTGAGGGCTCATTGGCCATTATTTGGCCAAGCACAGAGCTGACTGTCATGTGCTTCTGTATGCACAGACCTTAACCGAGCAAGAGAGACGGACATCCATAGATAGGACTGTGGGAGATCGCTGTAATAGAGAGGACTGGGACCATGGGGAAGAACTTGACTTTGAAGAGATTAGGGATGACTTGAAAAAGGGAGAAAAGTGGTTGGGCTAAGTGGGGAAGAGCATTTCAAGCAAACAGAATCAAATAAGCAAAGGTGTTAAAGGATATGCTGAATTTGAGAGTGGTACATAAAGCTGTGATGATTCGCCAAGAGGTGCCAAGGCAAGAACAAAGGGGGAATGTGTAGGCTGGGGCTGTGCCATGAAGAGCTGCGGATGATGAGCCAGAGTTAGAATTTAGCTTGTCAGATAGTGAGGACCCCTCAGAAGTTTCTGAGCAGGTGGTTACACATGATTAGATAGGGGTGTGTAGCTGTATTCAATGGGAGGCTGATGCAGAAGAGCAACAGTAGACAGAAGGATTGTAAGATTGGAGAAGACAGATTCTGGTAACGGAAAAACTTAACTAAAAATAATGTTTCAGGCAATTTCACTAATACCCTTCAAAAACCGATATTCCGCCAGAACTATTTTTATGCAAAAATGCATCATGACTTTTCCAAGGACCCAGTACTATGCAAAAGTGACAGGATATTTACAGAATTCATAATCTGATGTGGGAGAGGCAAATATGATAAAAGCATATCTTGAACATTCTTTTCTACTTTTTTGTTTTTTTTTAATTTGCCAGAAGAAGGTATGTGTGCTTGCCAGAGAAACGGGGAAAAAGCAACCTCCATGGGGCTTGGTCACACCATAACCTTTCTTTATTTCTCCTTTTAGGATTTTGGGCACATATACGTCAGGTGTATTTTTCAAGTTACCAGGCCCTGAACTCAAACCATGCAGTCAGTCATGTGGGATCCAGTTGCCTTAACCACTAGACCACAGGCTGGTCCCAAACATTACTGTCTTTTAAGCACAGAATCAAATATGACTTGGAGGAGGGTTAAGACCTATTTAGAGTTTATAAATGAGTCTCTTTCTTTTTGTGGACTTAATAGATGAAGGGGGTATAAACAATCCATAAATATATAAGCTAAATGTACACTGGAAAACTCAAATCCTTTACATGTATTTTATTGACCTTTAAAATAAATTTCACTTTAACTGTTTTAATAGTAGCTAGATTTCCCTCTGCTTTTCCTTCATACAAATCCTGATAGAGAATTTCTTCTTCCTTTTAATTGGCAGAGGGCATGTGCATTTGTCAAATTGAGAGAGAGCAAGAAGAAAACTCCCCCTAATGGGCCGTGTCACAATGCAATCCCTTCTCTATTTCTCCATCCTGTGGGGATTTGGGACACACACACAAACACACACACACACACACATGCACCGGGCATGTTTTTCAAGCCACCAGGCCACAGCAGTAGGCTGTGTGGGATTCAGCATTCGTAACCACTGCACTACAACAGTGTTCCCTAACCTTTTTGGCACCAGAGATTAGTTTCATGGAAGATAGTTTTTCCATGGATGGGGGGGTATGGAGGTGGGGATAGTTTATGAGATCACACAACCTAGATCCCTTGTGTGCACGGTTCACAGTAGGGTTCACCCTCCTATGAGAATCTAATACTGATGCTGATCTGACAGGATGCAGAACTCAGCTGGTAATGTAAGTGATTTGGAGCAGCTGTAAATACAAATGAAACTTTGTTTGCTGGGTTGTCACTCTGTCTCCTGCTGTTCAACCTGGTTCCTAACAGGACACAAACCAGTAATCCAGGGGTTGGGAACCCCTGTGCTACAGGGTCAGCCTTTGAGAATTCAGTGGCCACTGTGTAAACAAACAGGGACCAGCAGTTAGCATAATGTCTATGTCATTAGACTCCCATGTAGTTGACCATGGCTCGAGTCCCAGACTGGTGGCTTAAACTCACGCCGGACGCATGTGTGTGCATGCCCTAGATCCCGAGAGGAGAATGGAGGAGAAGGGATTGAGGCATGGCCATCCCCCCTGGGGGGTGATTTCTTGCTTTCTGTCTCTCTCTGGTGAGTGCACGTGCTCTATAGCAAAAACCTCTTCAAAAAAGCCAAAAACATAAAACAACAACAAAAAGCAAACAAAAAGTGCATTCCTCCTTTAACAAATACTTACAGAATACTTACTTGCAAGAGTTTAGAAAGGCTATACAAATAAAGAAACAGATGTGCTCTGCGCTGCCCAGACTAGTGAACAATACAGTCAGGATGGCTAAAGGTGACCCTAAGAAACTAAAGGGCAAGATACCTGTTTATGCCTTCTTTGTGCAGACCTGCAGAGAAGAACATAAGAAGAAAAACCTGGAGATCCCTGGCAATTTTGCAGAATTTTCTAAGAAGTGCTCTAAGAGGTGAAAGACAATGTTTAGGAAAGAGAAGTCAAAATTTGATGAAATGGCAAAGGTAAAGTAAGCTATGATAGGGAAATGAAGGATTACGGACTGGTTAAGGGAGGCAAGAAGAAAAAGGACCCTAATGTCCCCAAAAGGACACTATGTAGATTCTTCCCATTCTGTTCAGAATTTTGCCCCAAGATCAAATCCACCATCCCTGGCATCTCTTGGAGATGTGGCAAAGAAGCTGGGTGAGATGTGGAACAACTTAAGTGACAGTGAGAAGCAGCCTTACATCACCAAGGTCACAAAGCTGAAGGAGAAGTCTGAGAAGGATGTTGCCAACTCTAAGTCTAAAGGCAAGTTTGATGGTGCAAAGGGTCCTGCCAAAGTTGGCCAGAAAAAGCTGGAAGAGGAAGATGAAGATGAGTAGGAGGATGAATTAAAAAACAAACTGTTGAAATGTCTCCTTGTGATTACCTTAGCGCAGGGGAGCACTATAATCACGCCTCTCTTGGAGGCATGTCTTTTGCCCTCATTAGGTTTAATTGCAGAATTTGATTACAATCATGTTGTCTCTCAAAGTGCCCTGGAAATTGTCAGTGGTTTACATGAAGTGGCCATGGGTGTCTGGAGCACTCTGAAACTGTATCCAAGTTGTACATATTTCCAAACATTATTAAAATGAAAAGGCACTCTCCTGTTCTCACTCTGTGCACTTTGCTGTTGGTGTGACACGACATTTAGGGATGTTTCTCACTTTTTTTTTTTTTTTTTTATTTGTAAGGGGGTGTTATT